CTTTAAATTAACAATATAAATTATTATATTTAATTATAACACTAAATTTTCTATTTGAATGCTGCCAAGGAAAAAGGCACTACGAAAACTCCGTAGTGCCTTTTTCCTTGGCAGCACTCATTTGTCTATCTTAAGTGATCTGATTAGTTAAATATTATATTATATTTGCCAAACCTAGTTTTATATGTTATCTTATATAAAGAGACCATCAAGTTATATGACTGAGTTGAAAAGTTTTGACATCAGCCAATGCCAGTAACTTATTAGAAAAATTTGTTAGCTATTCCAGATTTTATAAAAGCAGCTGGAGCCCCGATTATAGGAGTCTTTGTTGATGGGAATCAAAATTAAGTTTTTGAAGATTTGGATACATTTCGGCCCTGGATACATTTTCGCTAAAACCATATGAAAAACTGCATAAAAAAAGTATAGCATGCATTTAATTTGACCAATCAGAAGACTAAAGACAGATTAGAGTTTCAATAAATATGTCAGAAAAATTGAAATAGACATCAGTTTTTCTATTTGAGCATCGTCAAGAGAAAACCTGTTATCGGCCTTTTAGTTATATTTTATACTGGACACAATCTATTTAATTTATTAGTGAATATGTCCAGTACAAATATAATTAAAAGTTTGATAACAGGTTTTCCCATATTAGCACCTATTTTGATGAACAAAATCTCTAATTACTCATATTATCAATTATACATACATATCCCTGATTTGAGTAATAAGTTGAGATGACCACTTTAGTTCTTCAAAGTATTTGATTTTAAACCGTGGGTCTAGTACAACTGCCGAAAGATGTAAAATATTTGTCTTATGACAATAACCTAAAAGCTTATTAATTGCAGCTTCGCACCCCTGCACAAGCCATTCTGGCATATTGTCTCTTCGTTTGTTTTCTTTAAGTGTCTCAAGTAATGTATGATAGAGAGGAATAACCATTGAAAGTGTCGGATATTCAGATGATGATATAAACACAGTTACTAATTTAAATTAAATTAAAAGATTAAATATTAATATTTAATTTTATATATTTTATAATGATATTGCTTTATAATAACCATCTTTAAAAGGCATTAAAACTTCAACAAGAAGTTTTATTTTTTCCCATTCATCCTCAGATAAAACATATTGACGTAATTCTGCTTCTGCAAAAGTCATAGCATCTAACACT